TTCATATCGACTCTTGGCAAACGATTGACTGGGAAGAGATCTCCACTAGAGAACAGTTGCTGGCCGCAAGAATCAAACAAATAGCAGAAACTCTTCAGGATAACGTCCTAGACACCATAGACAAGTTAAAGATCCAGAGAGGAAAAGAGAAAGAAAGATGGGATAGGAACCTTCGCGTCAGGCAAGAAGGGATACCTACGGGGACCCTCGTCCTGCTCTATGACTCCTCATTAGAGACAACATGGACAGGGAAGCTAGCAAACAGATGGATGAGGCCCTATAGAGTAGTCAAAAGACTAGAAGGCGGAGCCTACTTAATCGAGGAATTAGACGGCACAAGATGGAAGGAACCGGTGTCTGGAGCCCGCCTTAAAGTATTTAAAGATCGAAAAGAGGCCATTCCACATACGGGAAGAGTCAAGCAAACCAATGAGGTATATAGGCAACCAGAAAAAGATAAGAAGAAGTGTGAGCCCTTAGAAGAAACCACGGCACCAACCACTTCCGAAGTAGGGGAGTCCTCAAATCAGCACGCAGAAAAATCTACGGCACAAACCACTCCTCAAGTAGCGGAGCCCTCTACACGATCTTTAAAACCGAGACAAGACAAACTACTAGGGGTCCGACATACACAACGCAAACACCCCAAGAAAAGGAAGTCCAAGATCGAGAAATTGGCGGCGACAAAAAGGAGAAGAAAATGAAGGTTAAACAAGTCATCAGAAATACCTTAACGATAGAAAAAACAAAGCACAACCGACATGTTAGACACACTCCAACAGACAAACGTTTAGGGGTCAAAAAGAAGGCAACTAAGAGAAAGTTAGGCAAGAAGGAAAAACAAAAGAAAGGTGTCCGAGCACGACAAAGAGGATGATCTTGGGTTGATGGGTAGCGATTAGGAGTCATCGATCTTCCACATTTCTTTCTTCCTTCAACTGCCAAGATTCGCTCGCCGAGAACGTCGAGAATGGGGGGGGGGGCTACTCACTCGACGGTATTCTACCTGGCCGGGCTTCATCGACCATGAGGCGGGCCAACACTGGGACCGACAGGGTTGCCGACATTTACCAACTACGCGGTGCAACGACACACCAAAGAACGGGGCGGCGACATCCTTGCTCGACGTTATTTTGCGTGACCGGGGCACACCGACCATGAGGCGGGCCGACGCTACGATCAAGGAACCTACTTTATCCGGCCGCGACTCACCGACCATGACGCGGGCCGGCACTACGGGCAAGGGGCTCTTTGAACCAGTTGGGTTTTCCTCCGAAGGGGCGGTCCCGCTAGGATGCGGGGCCCGCCTAGGCTTGATTGAGTGATGGGTCCTATTTTCAATTATGAACGCCGCCTGGATTTTTCCCTAAGAGCGGTACCACTGCTCCATGGGGACCGCCTAGGCCAGGGCAGGCCTGGAGCAGACTCGGGACTGGCCGTGGAACCAGGGCCGTGCAGAAGGTCCAGTTCCCTATGGGAAGGCCCACTCCGCTGGGAGCCTTTTCGGGGCCCCGAGCAGGCTCGGGTACAGGGCCGGTACCGGGGCACTGCAAGTTGTCGGCAGCCTCAGCACACACGAGGGTCCAGACTCACACTCCAAGGACGGCTCGGCGGAGCATTTAAGCCGAACCAGGCCCGGATTCGGGGCATTCTTCGCCTGCACGCTCAGGCGCACAGGACAAGAGACGCGGGTTGGAACACGCGCGGGAGCTGATACGAGCAGGACACGCACGACGTTGGGACGCGCACGGCAGGGAGGGACACGTACGGAGGAGAGGGGAACATATCCGCCCACCTCCACGAACGGATTGGATCAGAGGCGGGCAGAAAGGTGCGCGCGTCGATTCTCCTCTGCGCACGGATCGGGTCGGCCGCAGGCGGGCGTGAGCGCGCGTGCGCACACCTCTACGCGCGGATCAAATCGGAAGCGGATGGACTGGGCGCACACTCGCGCGCGCCTCCCCGCGCTCGGGGACGCAGACGCGTAAGCCCACACAGACGTGCGATCTAGCGAGCTTCAGCGTACGCAGGTGAGCACGGTCCCACAATACCCCGGGCGCCAGCGCTCACCCGCACAGCGGGCGGGGACAACTGGGAGAGCCCCGCGAGCCAGCACACGTCTGCGCTCGGGAGATTGGGACACTGGGGAAGTTGTGTGCAGTGCGCACCCACGCGCATCCGCGCACAACGGATCGGAACAGCGGAGAGAGCCCTCGCACTTGCGCCCTCACCTGCGCACGAGCTTGTGGATGTCTGCGCGCATATGCGCGCACACTTGCTCTCGCTTGCGCACGACCACGCACACCCGC